GGGCAGTAAGTATTGAAGCTGAAGTACACTCGCCCACTGACCACTGCGTCCCAATCCCAGCTAACCCAGTTTGGAGGGGAAATGCAAGCATCTTGGAGAAAGAGACTCCCAACCGCCTTCTCAAACTCCAACACAGCGATGATGGAATTCATTGTTTGTGAGAAGCACCCTCATTTCCATGGCTGTTTGCTGTGATGTCACCACTTTGCATTGCTATGGCAACAGAAATGCAGTCATAGGCAGCAAGTTTTAGCCAAAAAAAAGAAAAAAAGAAAAGAAAGAAAAAGAAAAAAGCAGATCTCCTGGACAGCAAAGATTCCATTTTACCCCAAACACTATGTGTCTTACCCTTCTCTGCTCCGGCATTCGTAGCAAAAAGTCACAGAATCAAGTTCAACCCTCTGCTTTTAATATGGTAAACTAAGGCCCCCAGGGGATAAGGGCTACAGCAAGGATCACAAAATCACAAGTAGACGAGCCTGCAACCCCTCTCATCATTCTCTGTCCATTTTCATTATTTACTTGCTGAAGCATAGCACGTTAGCAAGAACCGGCCAATCTGGCCTAAGCTCAGAAACAAAATAACTTTGGGCATTTCCAGAAGGGGATGAAACTGATCGGCACGGAGAAGATGAGGTGTCATTGGGCTAATGCACCCACAATAGGGTGGCATATTAGCCAGTCACCCCCTGGACGGACACCCATCTGCCCAAATCTAAAGAGAGCACCCACCAGGTGGCGCCAGATTGCAGACCCAGCGGTGTCCCTTCCAGGTTGGTCTAGTTGTGGAAGGCTAGACCAGGGGAGCTGACAAGGAGCAGGAAGACCAACCCCTCCCCTTACAAAACCCGACTCCTTTGTAATGGGCGGGTCACACACAGCCAGCATAATACACACAGCCTCAGGTGAAACCAGACGAAAGAAGCGCTCACCCTGGCAAGAAATTGATGAGCCCCACACATATGGCCACACACCTATGCCTGGCTACTTGGAGAGTGGTACAAATTACCACTTAATATCGTCAACTCCCCCAAAGCCCAGAAACACAGGTGACTGAACTAGTTGTTAACACTCGAAAGTGACTTAAGAGCTTAAAAGCACAGGTAATTTACGCATTTGAAAATAACACTCACATTTAACATTGTACCTTTCAAAACCATTTCCTACACATTATCTTGTTTGATGCTAAACAGCCCTGTGGAGCAGACAGAAAAGTTTTATGACAGATGGATGAAGAAATTCCAGTGCATAAAGTGAAGTGACTTACTCAAGGTGACCCCAGTGGCAGTGGCAACACTGGAATCCTATCTGCCCAGTTTCTATCCCAGTGCTTTTCTGTATTATAAGCTGTTCTCTTGTAAGTGGTGGTAGGCCGATAAATGTTTCACTGCTAGCAATCGGGGGGCAGGGGGGGACCCAGTATGTAGCATTTTCCGATGTCTACGGTGTAAATACTCTGCCCATGGCTGGTTTCAAGCTACTAACATGATGCCAACCCACTTGCAAAATTCCTGAAAATGTAAATAACCAGCTGTCATGAGCTAATGCAGGCCAGTTCTAGCACATCATTGCTTCATAAGTTACGTTATTTCCACTTTGGATTCCTTTTTTCCTTCCAATTTTCTGCTCCTATGAACGTCTTCAAGGGAGAATGCACAGTTCTCAGTGCTGGAGGATGCCCCCACAAATCAACCCTCCTGAGAGACAGACTAGGAGAACAGCCTTCCATCATGACCCATGGGCTACCTGGAACCCTTACCTTCCCTGTCCGATCCCTTCTCTTTGCCCCTTACTTTCTCCATCCTTGCAGGTGCCTGTCTTGTGTCAACAGCGCCTTCCGCTGTCATTGGTGCAAGTACCGGAACCTCTGCACTCATGACCCCACCACCTGCTCCTTCCAGGAGGGCCGGATCAACATTTCAGAGGTAAGCAAGGCTCACTTTGGCATGTGATGTTCCCAGTAAAGCTGAGTGGCCCTCCCTTTTCAGATGGGCAGTCCATTGGCTTGGCCGTCTCCTTGCCCTGACCCATCTTGGTCTTCTTCCTGGAGATTCGACATGTTAGAAAACCACGTTATTATAAAACTCAAAAAAAAAAAAAAAAGTGGCAGAAAATACCCCAGAGGCCGAGAAATAGGCTGTGTCTTCTAGGCTCTTAAGATTCTTTACGTTCAAAGGCTTGAGGGGAACTGAGGGTTGAGACTGAAAGCTAAGGGGACATATCCGACCAACCAGACTCCATTGTCCAGAAAAGTGCAGTGAATGGCATTTATTCTTTGAGTCTAAGCCCTTTGCTTGGCTGCAGACATAGTCCAGCTCAATAGAACATTCACTCTCAACCATTCTTTCATGCCAACCTCTCTTCCAAGTCTAAGTTTCAATGATTCTTTGACTCTGATGTATGACTGGGTGGGTGGCCTTATAGAAAGAGAAGGAAATTCAGCTGGTGGAAAGAACCAGGCCTTGCTAAAAGTCCAGTTTATCATACAGGCAGTGTTCCATCCCTAGAGCCCGACTTACCTTTGTTATTCACACAGTGAAATATCAAATTGCCTGTCTTTCCGTGAATATCACATCCAGTTATTCACTGACGTTGACTTGGACGTTGACAGCTGGTTGGGTTTGAATGACTATAAAGACCTAGTATTCGTGCAAATCGCACGTGTGTGTATACATGTGCAATTCCCCTCTTCTTCCACCGTTTAGAAAACCTGCAAATGTCAATAAGGGACAGTGTAGCACTTTCATACTCTACTATACTCTTTCTATACACATGGCCCTCTTGCACTAGACTAGAAGCTCCCTGAAGGCAAGGGCTGTATTAATCTTAAATCCTCAGTCTTCTTCAGGGAATGTTTGCAGAATGCATGGGTGAAAGAAGGAAGGAAGGAATGACCGCTTTGCCCAAATGTCATTGATAGGAAGGGTTCCTTGGATCTACGTGTCCAAGATGTCAAGAAATAGAGTCTTACGTGTCTCCGAGTCTTGACCGCAGTGCTAGTTGCTTCTCTGAATAAACATAAGAAAGTCAGCCTTAATGTACACATATCAGATCGTCATGACATATACGTTTACATGTCTTACCGTGTTATTTGTCAATTATACCTCAAAAAGCTAAACAAATTAAATAATAGTAGGCCTTGACCCGTTTCTCAAACACGCACACCCACGGCCGTGAATTCCGCTCAGTGTCTGAAATAATATGTGTTCTATTCAGCCGGAAAAATGGAATTTGCCGGTCTTGAAAGAGAGAAACATAGAGGGTGTCCACAGGTGGTATTGAAGACAGGCCATCCGCTGGTGCCCCTAGCGTGCTGGAACCAGTTATCTAGTGCCCTGAAAACCTTTCAGAAAAAGATCTCCCCGCAGCCAGTTGGTGTGCTTTGATGTATCTGACCCGAAAGCACTAATCTGGTCTTAGTGGACACTGGAAATTAATCCCAGCCCTGGGATTCTGCAAGAGTATGGAACTGCTTTCGGGCCAATCTTCTCATTCAGAGGAAGCGGCCCAAGGGCCGAGGGTACGGAGTGGAGGGTGGTCCCCCAGCTTGGGAGTCAGCCAAAGAATGGCGAAGGGAGGCGGGGCAGACCAGGAACGGCAGAAACCACAGACAGGGCTGCTCAGAGGCAAAGGCCTAGCAGTGCGGAGATGGTGATAAAGGGTCTCGGAAACTGACCTTCATACGGGCCGCTTCTACGCTTCTGAGTTCCTTAATAAAAAAAAAGGCGAGGCAGACCACAAAACACAGAGAGAGAGAGAGAGAGAGAGAGAGTGAAGTGCAGGTCTAGACAAGAGAGAGCAGCTGCTTCATTGTCTCCCAGGGGCTCCCCCTCGGGCTGAGAGAAACCCAAAGCCAAGCCTGAAAGCGGCCTGCAGCTGGAATAAGGGCAGGGGGAATGGCTTAAGGACCAAGACAAATAAACTCTGCCCGGGTGTGGAAGCCAGAAGGCTAATTGGAAACATGCCGGCCTCCCTCATGCCCTTTAGAAGTCACTGGAACACGGTTCCCTCTCAGCCACGGGGGAGAGACTCCGATGTTCCAGAAAGCTGGACCTGAGAGAAGAGGTTGCCACCAGGCAACTCAGGAGTGAGTTAATATTCAAAGAACCCTGGGGGCGAACCCAAAGACTTCCCACCGCCTTTCAGTGTCACTTTCCTGAATGTCTGTGGCTTCCGGGGAAGAGGTGCCCTTTGTCCCTTCCTCACCTCCCACCTCTGCTTAGTGGGATGGGAATGGGCTGCCATTCTCTTACTGCTGATGTGCGCCAGTCCCTGACGTGGGCCCTGGGATCGGCCGTCTGGAGGCCCGGTGATGGAAGCCTGGTCTGCAGCCGGTTCCTAACTTCACTCAGGAAAGATGAGCGGTGTGGGTTCCCGGCAAGCTTGTGAGGGCCACTTCCTCAGCTGCCTTAAATACTGCTGAGGCTCTTGGCCACAGCCATTCACACATCCCTTCCCAACAACTAGCTCCCAGGCCCTACTCTTTTCTGTCCAAAGCTCTGCTTCTGGAGAATTCCACTCCTGAAAATGCAGAGGACAGCTAAGATGTACGTATCCAGCTTGGGGGGGTGCGGGGCGGTGTTCCTTGCTGTATTAAGAGTCCAGTCGGACATCGTTAGATTGTTCTGGGGACTGGAAATCCATGAACTGCCTCTTTGAGAGCCCTAGAATATCTCTTTTATACTTCCAGTAAGAGCCCCCTAACGGTGAATCCAAAAATCAAAATTTTGTCTGTGTACTTCCTAGAAACAATATCTAACCAATTAGCTCCATTGATCTAGAGAGCAACATTAATGTACACACGTTTGTAACTCTCTCACTTGTGACAAGAGGTCTCAAAGCGTCTATGTCAGCGCAGGGGGCCAGCAGCAGCAGCCGCACCTGTGTGCTTCTTAGAAATTCAATTTCTTGGGCCCCCTCCCCAATGAGTCTAAAGATTGAGAGTCACTGACATACAGCATCTCAATTGATTCTTGAAACAGACCTGTGGTGTCACATAATTCATATTTGACATATGTAGTAACCAAGATGCTAAAAATTTAGGGTTTTTTGCCCAAGGCTACAGAGAACTCAGGCATCCAAAAGAGCTGAGTACAGCATGCTTTCTGCAGAAAACCAGAGCCGGTTAGCTTCCTTGTCTCCATGGCCACACTTGCCGGCAGGATCGCGATTTGGCTTTGTGCTGTTTGGTCATGAGGGTTCAGGGTGTGCAGCTGGTGCAAATCCACCTTCACAGATGGAGAAACTACCCATGGAGGATGGGTCAGTAGTCCCACTTCCAGATACACAGCCAGCCAGCACGTGAGGTCAATCTGCCTGCTGTTTCCAGAGGTCTGAGGGACCAAGTCCACACTTAGGCTTGACAATAAAGTACCTAATTAAAAAAAAAAAAAAATGTATACATACACACACACGCACACACACACACACACACACACATATATTCTCATTTAAACTACTCTATGAAATGGATTCTATTACAGATTAATAAACTGAGGTTTAGATAAATTAAACAATTGTCTTAAGGTCATCAGATAAATGCAGACGCCATGACTCAGAATGTATGTCCCCAAGTTGACCCTGGATAAGTTGAAGTCCTCTGATACTGCATTTACATACACAACACACACACACACACACACACACACACACACAAGAAATAAGCAGTAGTATTAATGGTGTTAATCCAGTTTATTGCTGTTTACAACATACTTTCTTTTTTTTTAATTTTAAAAAATTTTTTAATGTTTATTTTTGAGAGAGAGAGAAAGCATGAGCGGGGGAGGGCAGAGAGAGAGGGAGACACAGAATCTGAAGCAGCTCCAGGCTGCGAGCTGTCAGCACAGAGCCCGACGTGGGGCTCGAACTCACGAATGGTGAGATCATGACCTGAGCCGAAGTCGGACATTTAACCAACTGAGCCACCCAGGCGCCCCTACAACGTATGGTCATATGCCTCTTTCATGCAGTCGAGGGTTGTTGGGTATGACTGGCCCCATTTTATCGATGAGGCAGCTGAATTTCAGTTGCACTGAAATTCAGTCTCTTGAGCTCTTTTAAGGTTATGAGCCAGACCTTCCCACTGGTCAGAGCACAGTCGATCTCTGATGGGGCCCCCCAAATCTCTGCCTCCCTGGGCTGGATCAAGCTGTGACATGGTGTTAGCAAGCAGGTATGCGCAGGAGTATGTATGGCTTTCAGCTTTAAAAGCTCATCTCTCTCCACGGCTAAACCAGGCCTAGTGAGATGTAGATACATAAATATCTTCTTTACGCCCTGTCCCCGGGGAAAGATAGAACCAAATAAATCCGATTAGCTTCCCGGGATACTGGCTGCTCTCTCTCTTTGAAGTCCAGTGGGTGAAGATAATGCCATTTCCACATGGGAGAAGTCGTTTCCGAGGGCCGAAGGGTCCCCCGCGCCCCAAGCCGGAGAAGCACAGCTAAACAGAGGGGGCGATGCGGCGGCAAGGCTCACGGGGCTCCCACGCCAGGGTCCTACGTAGCCATGGCTCCTCCTCCCCCGCCTACCCCCACCCTTGGGATGTTCCCAAAGAGGACATCTATTCATCCTGACAGAAACTCAAATTGCTGCCAAGGAGGTGATCCTGTTGCCAGTTGGCTGAGAGACAGAGGAGTAAGATGACCTAACGACAGTGGGGACCAGCAGTAGCAATGGGCATTTTAACAACACTGACAACAGTAGTAACACCCTGCAGAAAAGGAATAATGTGATGATGTGCTCTCTTCTTAGGACAGGAAGTGTGTGTGTGTGCACGCGTGTGTGCGTGCACGCGCATGCTCACAGAAGCAATCAGGATAGACGTGGCCTCATTGTATCTGATGAAACCCATCGCCTTCCCCAAGGCCCAGAGCCCTTGAAGTTCCCACAACTTGGCGGTTTTCTGGGCTGCTGGCTTTCCCACACCTGCCATCAGCCTTCCCTACTGCCATTGCTACCCAGGACTCGCTGCTTCCTCATTAATACATTCACCAGAACCATTCATAACCCAAGGGTTCTGCATCTACCCTTGTTTTTCCAAGAAGAAAAGAGTATAACCTGGTCCCAACCCCTTTTTTTTTCCTTTGCCCTAGAGAATAAGAGAAAGAATCCCACTCTGGCCTCAGGGAAATAGCCAAAAACAAACAAAAGATAAGACATCTGTTTTCTACTGAGGCAGTTTTGGAACCTGTATAGGCATTTGGGAAGCCCCTAATCATTGTCTTTAAATTTACTCCCAGAAGGTCTGAAACAGCAGACCCTGGGTATCTTCTGTAAATTTTAGAATCCCTTTAAAAAAGAAACAAACAAACAAAAAACTCCCAAGAGTACTCATAAAGTGTCTTCTTAAGATTCTCCAACTCCAGGGGCGCCTGGGTGGCTCAGTCAGTTAAGTGCCTGACTTTGG